GGTATGGGGAAGAGGGGTGTGCTGAGGGTTTAAATAGTCATTGTAGTTCTCCCTCGTCTCACGCTTGCGGGTCCTAGCCTGTTGGTGGCGTTGGGTCCGGCAAGCTGGGAAGGGGGGAGGAAGGGGTGTTCTCAGTGTCGGCGTGCGTAGTGGGTGCGGACGTCTGTTCTGGTGACATGGTATTCACTGGGGTAGTTGGCCAGGGTAAGCAGACTGCGGCTACCAGTGTCTTTTGACAACATGCCAACATGAATTCTCAATTGTAAAATGGGAATATTTGCGGAAAGATAGATATTAACTATGTGGGAAGTGAATTCACGAATGAGGGCTGTACAGGGAAACTCAAACTAGCTCCACTATAATAAGGTACAAATTGTCATCCCAGTCTCCCACATCTTCGTCTTTACATGGTTGCCACCAGCGAAAGGCCGACCATAAGTAAGAAAAAATTTAGCAACTGCCAAAAATCAGTTCAATTAAGTGCCCTTCATAACTTCCTGTTTAGTATTTTAAGTGCCCATAGAGCATGTAGATTTACCCTGCCCTCAGATAAAAGCTGTCCTTTCAGGTTTTCTTAGAAAGGCCTTGCGTGAGGACAAATCATTAAAATTCACTGAATGAGTACCATTTGCGATCGGTGAACGTTCATCAACGAATAACAAACTATTTGTAACTAAGCTTTCCTATTCATGAAGAATATTCCACAAATTCTGACACTTTGACCCACCTGTGAAACATCTTGACACTTGCTTCCTCCAGCTATTTTATTACCACTGTGTTCTCTATAGGAAGATGAGGAAGAAGACTCAGACAATGACAGCGAATCAGCAGATCTAAAACCCTCCATCCAGGCAGATCATCTCGACCTGGGATTTGTGATCGCGAAACTTAAATTTATGGAACACCTGGGAGTTCAATACCGGGTGCGGAACTGTGGCCTAAACTTCGAATGGTCTCAATTCCAGTTTACCGGAAGAGACTGTTTGAGCTTCTCTAAAGCCATCAAAGCGCACGAATCGCTTGTCGTCCTTGAACTCGTAAAGTAAGTTTGTCACATGTTATAAAAGTATTTCTGGTCCGAGAATTGTTTCAGGATGCTTTTCGATTTCGTTGGGAGATTATATTTTCATAAGTCATGGCCCAACTGTCAGCGCTAGCAGTTAGTTTTCAAAAGAAGAATACTTGTTTTCAACGATCAAAAAATAGTGTGTCAAGAACA